CAAAAATCAAGGATTTCGAGGGGCAAAATTCCACAGAGTCCAAAAACACACCAAAACGCGATATAGTGGACACTGATCCGCACGCCTTCTGCGCTCCAGGCATAATACGGACAAACAACACAGCTTTCCTACTATATGGGGCGGGCACAGCAAACAAAAGGGTTGATGGCGCAACAAAGCTAATGGGCGCAATTTTGAGGGTTTTCGCTATGCTTTCATTAGCAACTAAGCTGATGAACGCAATTTTGAGGGTTTTCGCTATGCTTTCATTAGCAACTAAGCTGATGAACGCAATTTTGAGGGTTTTCGCTATGCTTTCATTAGCAACTAAGCTGATGAACGCAATTTTGAGGGTTTTCGCTATGCTTTCATTAGCAACTAAGCTGATGAACGCAATTTTGAGGGTTTTCGCTATGCTTTCATTAGCAACTAGCTGATGAACGCAATTTTGGGGGTTTTCGCTATGCTTTCATTAGCAACTAAGCTGATGAACGCAATTTTGGAGGGTTTCGCTATGCTTTCCATTAGCAACTAAGCTGATGAACGCAATTTTGGGGGTTTTCGCTAAGCTTTTATTAGCAACTGAGCTAATGAACGCAATTTTGAGGGTTTTCGGTATGCTTTCATTAGCGATGGACGCAATTTGAGGGTTTTCGCCATGCTTTCATTAGCGATGGACGCAATTTTGAGGGTTTTCCGCCATGCTTTCATTAGCGATGGACGCAATTTTGAGGGTTTCGCCACGCTTTGCGTAGGATCAGAGGGTGCTCGGGTGGGGTCTATGCGTCGGACCCCATCTATGAAACCAGCCTGTTGGTACGGCTGTAGACCGCGAGGCCTGCCATCTCTTGGCCTCGCGGTAAGGGCGCACGCCGGAGGGGCGCGTCCTCCCTTTCAAGGGAGGAACCTACGCTCCTCTTCGGGGTCCTCCTTTGGGAGGGTCTCGAAGGGGAGTGAAGGGAAGCGCTTCAAAGGCGGGAAGGGGGAAAGGGGGATGAAGAAAGGAAGAGAAAAGAAAAAACAAAGAAAAAAAGATGGGGCGAAGATGAAGAGCGAGGACGAAAAAAAGGTAATCAAACGTAAGAAAGCCGACGCGCGCGAGCGAACCTCCAACCCTCGTCGGGGGTTGATTGATTGACTTCAGACGTAGTGGTTTAGGGCAGGCCTTGTTGAAACCCTAATGGTCATTAGGAATTTTGCTTGACTCTGAGCGTAGTGGTTTAGGGGCAGGTCTTGTTGAAACCCTAATGGTCATTAGGAATTTTGCTTGACTCTGAGCGTAGTGATTTAGGGCAGGTCTATGGTCAGAGATTATGCAGAGTGGTGGTGGTGGTGTAGTAATAGTGTAGTAGTGCAGTAGTGCACTCAATATTTCAGTTTGTATTCTTGTTGTCTATGAAATGACTTCAATATGACTTGTTTGATTAAGAAAAGTGTAGTGATTGATGTTTGCATAGCAAAAGTGTAGTGTGGCGCAATTTTGCCTTATTTGAGTAAGGAGATGTGTAGTGATTGATATAGTGGACACTTGGTTGCATAGCAAAAGTGTGGTGTGGCGCAATTTTGGCTTATTTTGATAAGAAAAGTGTTGTGTTGAATTGGTGGACATTTGTTTGTGCAGCAAAAGCATAGTGTTCTCTATGGTGGACGCAATTTTGGCTTGTTTGTGTAGCAAAAGTGTAGTGATTGATATAGTGGACATTTGTATAGGTCCGCAATTTTGACATGTTTGTATAGCAAAAGTGTAGTGTTTTGATATAGTGGACATCTGCATAGGTCCGCAATTTTGACATGTTTGTGTAGCAAAGTGTAGTGTTTTGATATAGTGGACAATTGATTAGGAAATTTGTAGTGTCCGCAATTTTGACATGTTTGTGTAGCAAAGTGTAGTGTTTTGATATAGTGGACATTTGCATAGGTCCGCAATTTTGACATGTTTGCATAGCAAAAGTGTAGTGATTGATATAGTGGACACTTGATTAGGAAAATTGTTGTGTCCGCAATTTTGACATGTTTGCATAGCAAAAGTGTAGTGATTGATATAGTGGACACTTGATTAGGAAAATTGTTGTGTCCGCAATTTTGACAAGTTTGCATAGAAAAAGTGTAGTGTTTGATATAGTGGACACTTGATTAGGAAAATTGTTGTGTCCGCAATTTTGACATGTTTGCATAGAAAAAGTGTAGTGTTTGATATAGTGGACATCTGCATAGGTCCGCAATTTTGACATGTTTGCATAGCAAAAGTGTAGTGTTTGATATAGTGGACACTTGATTAGGAAAATTGTTGTGTCCGCAATTTTGACATGTTTGCACAGCAAAAGTGTAGTGATTCGATATAGTGGACTTTCATAAGGTGTCCGCAATTTTGACATGTTTGTATAGCAAAGTGTAGTGATTTGATATAGTGGACATCTGCATAGGTCCGCAATTTTGACATGTTTGTGTAGCAAAGTGTAGTGTTTTGATATAGTGGACATT